GCAAACCGGTTATATCTAGACCTCTTGCTGCTACATCTGTGCAAATTAAGAACTTTACTTCTTTTTTTTTGAATTTCTCTAAATTCGCTTTACGTTCCTGTGGTTTTCTATCACCATGCAAACAAACACATGAAAGTTCACTTCCTCCTACTTGCTTCAAATAACGTTCCAAATTATCACAGTCAAGTTTTGTTCTGCAAAAAAGTAATGCTCTATCCATTTTATGTTCCCTTATAGCACGGATACAGTACTCTCCTTTTAATATTTTAACAGCCTCTGACAATACTTCTGTAAGCAGATTTCAACAATTAAACAACCAATATGGTAACAGCATTGAGAGGACAAAACTAACTATTATACCAGCTGTGTTATTTCCAGGTTTTATATTATCCCTACTATGCACTCCATCTGTTTCAATATTTCTTCTTAAGTTTTGCCATAATTTGTCTTTCTGGGGATCTACTATTACTACAACATGATGAACAGTTTCAGGAACTATATCTTCTCCCTTTAAATCAACCCACGTTGGAAAATGCATTAAACGTTCCTAAATGCACCAGTAAAAGTTACAATATACTATTATTAGATTATATAAAGCAATATTAAATAATATTATGATGTATTTAAAACTTACAGCCATCTTTTTTACTTCAAATGAATGTAAAGTTGCTGAACATACAATCATCTGCAATCTTTTTCCATCTGATGTAATCTTAGGAATTTGTCTATGTAGACGATCAATAAGTTCTGTATATCCTTGCTTTAATAATCCATCAGCTTCGTCCAATACAAAAAATCTGTGTGTGTGTATATATATATTATATTATAAATATAATAACCTTGTAATAACCAATCTTTTTGATATTATTTTTTCAGTTTTAAAGAAAATTACCTGCAATGTGTCAATGACATGTATCCTCCTTGTATTAGATCTTCCAAACGACCTGGTGTGCCAACTACTATATCAACACCTGAATTTAACATTGAAATCTGTTCCTTTACGCTTACTCCTCCAATAACTAATAATTCTCGAACTGTAGGATTGTTTAAATGTGTTTTAAACTAAAAATTAATAAGTATAAATACAACCATATATTTCTTTAGAAATTAAAACAGTCATATCAAAAATACAAACTTACTTTTTGTATCTGATTATAGGTTTGTTCAGCTAATTCCCGAGAAGGTTCAATAATTATAGCCTGTGGTGCATTGTTTATAGGTTTATTACTTCCTATGCTTTGACTATGGCTACTGTTAATAGGATTAAGTTTCACGTAATCTTTTGGAGCTGAAGATATAGCAATATAATCATTTGGTGGAGGATACTTAAATGGTTGAGCACCAAAATTAAATGACATTTCTGCATTTTTCAGTACAACAGCTGGGAAAAAAATTTGCGATTTCTGTTGGGGATTCAATGTAAAAGCTACACCCAGATCTACACCATTTTTTGTGAATCTTATTATGCCGTTTGATAAATCAAGTAAACATCCAATTATACAATGCATTCCAAAAGGTTCACCATAATTATCAAATTGCTTTGCATTAGACTTTTTACCAGTACCTCCAAAGCCATAGCCAAATCTATCTGTTCCTAAATCTAAAGAAGCCTGTTTAAATTATAATGATTTGTTAAAATTATTCCAAGTACCAAAACATCAATTTTCCTGTCCATTGTATATAGAATATAATTAGTTACCTGAGACGTAGACCACCCCACGCGACATAAACCCTCATCTGTGGGTACGCATTCAAAAAAAAATTTCCCATCTCCTTGTACTCCTTTATTGGCACGGCATCCATGCCATTCCTTTGGCTCACGACTCTGACATCTTAAACTATCTGGCGTCACAGCCAGAGCATGATCTCTATCAAATAGGCTCAATCCCCAATGTATAGCTAAAAATAATTACATATTTATTGTTACAATATTAAAAGATCTAAAAGGAAGAGAAAAATTGTATGTGTCTATTATACTCTATTTCATAAATAATAAAAATGGGCATAATACAATGTGATAATTCTTTTGTAGAGTTGTTAATTTTTCCAGATTCCATATCTTTTAAGGTTTCCCATACAATTTGCAAAATTGGTAAACAAAATGCTCCAGTTTTTCCACTTCCAGTTTCTGCAGCCATTAATACATCACCTCCACCCAAAATTAAAGGAATAGCCTCTGCCTGCACATCTGTCGGTAACCTGCAATTTATCAAAATATCAAAATATTGTAGATAAAATTATTATAGCAAATTTAACTACATTATCTTTTGAAAATATACTCTATCGTGACTACACAAACGAAAAAAATGTTAACAATATAACTCACATCCAATCTATTTCTTCAACAGCTTGTGCTATTTCAGACAGTACACCCATTTCTAAGAAAGAAAAAAGAAATTAAATTAAAGTTTAATGTGAAAATTAACTAATTTCTATTTTATAAGTATTAATGTTAATAAATGTCAAAGTATGATCGTTTAACCTAATAAATTATACGTAAGTAGCAAATTTGACAAGTGTACGTAGTTCAATTTTATTTAAAAAAAAATGTCTTATCATACCTTCAAACGCTGCCATATTATTTATTTATTAATTAAATATATTTCTTATATAAATTATAAAACAGATACGCGAAAATTCAATACACTGGCAATTACTTCATTCAACTCACACAACTCTCTTACTTATTATTGGCCTTATATAATGGCTTCCAACTATTCTCTTATTCGCAAGTCACAATACCTGTCATTGTCGTTATTGTCACTATTGTCACTATCGTCGCTCTCGTCGCTATCGTATATATACCCTCCCTGGCGATAACGTTTTTCGTTAGATTTAAATTCGCTATTATAGTATTTTTTTTTTTACAAATTGAATAGATTCTGTGTAATCGCAGGTAAATAAAATTTCAGAAAATAACATTTCAACATTTTGAAATTCAACTGTATCATTCTTTGGTAAATACATAAATATATAAACTATACTCATAAATAGAAGGAACGTATTCTCACTTTGAACATAAAATCAATGTAATTTACTCTTTATTTTTTAATAAAGAAAAAAATGATATCACTTTTGGAAACTGCAAAGGATAAAGTTCAGGAAGGACCAATACGATGTATATTCTTTTCCGAATTTCATCATATAGCTGGCCCAAAGATCACTTGTCAGGTTAAGTTAAGAGATTATATTAAAAATTTCATTTATTAAATCTAGAACATTTATTTTTTTATTTTTTACAGGTACCTGATAATTTTGTATCGAAAGATATATTTGATAACGTCAATGTTTATATTATACCAAAGGCACAATTACAAAGAAGTACAATTACTGTGTAAGTTAAAAATATTTATTAACATTTAATATTCAATATTAATAAATAAACAAGATTAATTATTTTAGAACATTGAAAGACTATAAAATCTTAGGATTTCCCGTGAAAATAGACGATAAAAAATATGCAAGAAATGCTTTTTATTTTAATTTATGTTTTGTGTGTGATTCAGAAGCTCGCACAGTTCATTATGAGCCAGTAGTTAAGAAGATGTCTGATTTTTTGGTACTCATTTACCTTAATCAATTTATAGGTATAATAATATAAAATAGCATAGTTGACAATACAATATACTTAAATAGATTTCTATATTTTGTACACGTTAGATGGCTTTAGAAATTGAGAATTGTTTCTTATCTGCTTCCGATGATAAAACTAGATTGGCTGAAATGTTGGGACATGTTATGCAAGAATTAAATTTGCATAAAATGTGCACACTAACGGGTAAAAATTGTATATATTTAGTATCTTATCATAATAAACATACTTCTGTGTTAATAAATTTATTTTTAAGAGGGAACAATGACATCACATTTGAAAGTAGTAAAACTAGCACCAGAACCTAAGCCAGTTCTTGATCATCAAGTACCAATATTCTTAGAAGGTAAGGAAGCATTTCACAGTGATCAATGGGATTTAACAACTCAGCAAGTATTACCATATATAGATGGCTTTAACCATGTTGCTCGCATAGCGGCAGAAGCAGATGTTGAAAACAATTTAGTTAAAAGCTGTGTACAAAATTTAGCGTAAGTTTATATTAAAGAAATTCTTTAATCAATAAATTTAATCAATAAATATTATAAAGTATATTTTATCATTTTCTAGGTATTATAGCATTGTAACTTTAATTCCAATATTTCAATATAGTAATGTCTATGCAGCAACGCCAAAACTAAAACAATTAGCAGAAGATATCAAATTACAAGAAAGATGTATTACATATGCATCTAAATCCCGTAAGCACTACTATCTAATACATTAGTATGTTATAACCTAGTTTTCAAGAAGAAATCATTATTATTTTTTGCAGCAAGACAACCAGCATATCTCAGAGATATATATCGTATGTATGCAAGCATGACTCATAGCTGTAGTATGAGGGACTTGTGTCAACGTTTAAATCCACAAAATTTAAGAATTAATGAAAGAAGATTAGTTCAATTTGGTCTGATTGAAGGTCTTATTCGAAGGGTCTATAAGGTCTGTTCTTGCATTTGAGAAATGTTCTTTTATATAGTTATTGTTTAACAGCATATGCATACTCACATATACATATTTCAGTACCCTATACTTTTGCCAGGTATACCGTATAATGAAGAAACACGGAATAATCCTATTTATAAGTATTTTACGGGAACATATAATTTGGATGAAATTTGTTGTAATACAGGTCAGAGTGTGGCACAAATAGAAGAAATCGTTGAACGTGATCCAAATATTGTTATGTTATGGAAGTAATTCAGTTGTACAAATTATATGAGTATATTTGTATATATACAGTATTAAGATTTTGTATAATATAAATGTGTATAGATAATGAAACAAAAAATCATTTTATTATAATAGATATAAAATGTTAACCCTTTACACTCGGATATGTCCCCTCTGAGGGGACATCAAAGTTTATTAGTGATTAGGAGAATGAACTTATTTTACCGCAACAGAGAAACGCATGTTTCCCTGTAGTTTTTTATTGAAATGGCACAAGATAGCAAATCAGAATTTCATACAATTACCAAAATATATGAAAAATATATCAGCCGGTTTTATTTTGAAGAGAACATGTGAAGTGCGTTCACGACGTTTATTCGTATATACACATTTCGCTCTAAGTGTGATAATCTTCTACTGCGATAAGAAACAATGGGCCCAGTACGATTTCCAATATAGATTTTCAACTCTATGGAAATTCTTAAGCATTTCATTCTAAACATTATCTTCTACTACGATAAGAAACAATGGGCTCATTATGTTTACACACCTGCATCGAGTATTCAATCTTAAAAGTGCGCATGGTATAGCAGCTCGCGTGTCAGTCAACATGTTAAAAAGAGCGATAAAAAGGATTTGTGGAACAAAAGTACGCGATTATGGCTCAATGATGTAGTCACACTGTAGAAAATTATAAAAAATAAATTTTGATTTTTTTGTAAATATATGTTCTTTAGCGTCTACAAATTCATATAAACCAAATATCATTACAATATCTTATTTGGTTCCGAAACTATACTGTATAATATGACGATTCCTGGATGCACTTTTTCGCGAGGAGGTGGCGTCGAGTTGCTGATAAATAACGTTTGAAAAGGCACCGAGTGCAAAGGGTTAAATATACATAAACATAGTATTTATTATCAAATAAGAATTTTTACAAGATGTATATATGTATTATTCAATATTTTCGATTAGGCGTTTAACTTCATTAATATATATTTCGGGTACCTTGCTCTCTCTCATTTCTTTACATTTTTGGTTCATAGCCTCCTGTAACTTCTTCTTGCGCATAGCAACTTGTGTACGAATTGCCAATCCTTCCTCAAACATCTTTTGTCTTGCTTGAATACGTTCTCTTTCCTTTTCATTTACCTAATGAAAAAAAAGGGAAAATTGGATGAATTTATAATATAAGTATAGAAATTGCACAAACACCCAAAATATTTTTAACTATCATGTAGATGGACCTGTCTTAATATCTCACTACGATGAACAAGAGCTTCTTGTTGTTTCTTTTCACGATTCTTCTTATCGCAGCAAAATGCTTCTTTCTGTACACGTAGAATTCTTTCAAATTCACGTTTTTCTCTATTAATTTCAATTGCTTGTATTAATCTTTTATTTTTTATTTGTTCTTCTCTTCCTTTCCGAAGATCCTGTATAGTTCCAATTTTTTTCATTGCTTCTTCTTTTTCTTTCCGTCTCCATTCTCTCTCTACTTCTTCTTGTATACGGTCTGCATTTATTGCATCAATTTGTGCCTGAAATTTCAATGTTTATATAATATTCCTGTATCATTTGATTTCATTGTTATAGTAAACAAATGTTTACTTGAAGATCTTGTGTATGCTTTGCCTGTACAGCCAATCTTTCTTTTTCCTGTTCTTTATATAAATTCTCCAATCTTTGCTTTTCATCTAATTGAGTTTCTCTTTCTTCTTTATATTTTTTATATTGTTTTATCCTAAGAAAGTTACATGAATTTAATTGGTTTATTTATTTAATACAACAAATTGTAGATGTTACCTTAAATCTATTATTCTATTCTCCTCTTGTTCCATAACTTTAAAATGCTTCAATTGTTCATTTACTTCTGCTAGATCTCGACGGATTTTAGCACTTTCAGCTTCCTTGTGGCGTAACTTTTCTATTTCTGCTAACTGCCAAGTTATATTATTCATATTAATTAGCTGGCTCTCCTCTTGCTTTCTTTCAAATTCAAGTATTCGTTGCTCTTCATTCTCTGTAATTTGGTCCTTTAAAATTTTTGAGAATATTTGTTTTCTAGAAATTTCCTCTTCTTCTTTCTTTAAATCTTCCTCAATTGCCCATCTTCTTTCATTTTCCATCATGTCATTTAAACGTTTTTCTTCTTCTGCCAATTCTTGTTTGATTAATTTCTTTTCAGCTATCTACAAAAGACCAACTTTTTCTTAATTTATTGTATATTGAAATAAAATCTGATTCTTTAATGCGATATAATACCTGCATATCTCTTATAGCTCTACATTTAGTTTCTAACATAAACCGATTAAATTTTTGAATTTCCTCTTCTTGTTCGAGCTTTAAATTGTAAGCTCTTTCGAGTAAATGCATTGTCCTTTTCTTGGCTTCTTCTTCGACTTCATTTAACATTTTGTCTTTTTCGCGTATCTTTGTTAAGTCCATCCTACGAATAGCTTCTTTGCGTATCATACTGTCCTTGGTAAGTCTATATCTTTCCTCTTCTGTTGTTGCAATAGTTGCTTGTTTCTCTTCTTTAGTGACATAGTGACCACGCTTTTTAAACTCCTCATACTCTTTTTTTGTAATAATAATTGGTTTTTTTGATCCAATAGAAACAGTAAGATGTTTTTGCTTTCCATTTTCAATTCGAGTTTTCTCTGTCTGAAATTTGTAAAGAGTTTAAAATTTTGTATTTTATGGATAACTTGAAAAGAAAAAAATATTTATAAATATTTAATGTTTCTTACCCCCCATTCTCCTAATATATTAGATTTTAAATTTGCTGAAATTACACCTGATGTACATTTTTCATTGTCACGATATTTTAATTTGCCGCAGGAGGACGTTTGTTTTTGTAAAGGAATATCTGTAGCATTTAAGATGTTCAAAGTTTTTGACATGATTTAAGATGCTTCTGAATTACCGCGCTATGCATTAATCAATTCACTCCCGCATTAAACATGCATTTTCATTCAATTTTTTTAATGTCAATGAGATTCATCAATTTTTAATTCATATAATGTTACAAATAATTCCAAATTCATATGTGCATCTGGCACGAATTGCTGCTGTTATCCAAAATGAAATACTATTGAAAAATAGTTACATCATAGAATGTCACGTTCGTTTGTTCGATAGCTACATATAAATACATGGTGTTACCTGAAGATTAATCAGCGATTTTTGTAAAATTAATATAATATTTAAATACCAAATAAAAGAAGTAATTATTATTAGGTAGACGTTATAAATTCTCATCATGGTATAAATCTAACATTTTTATTATAAAACTGATTATTGGTACGCGAACACAAATAATATTTATTATCATAAATGCAATGCTTCAATTTCGAATTATAGTATCGATATATTAAACTTCGATTCTAGTTGTATAGACGATTTGTTACAAGTGTAGAAAAATATACGTCACTACGGGTGAATATTATACATTTGTAGTACACTATACCGTATTTTTTCTATATTAAGAGGACAAAAAAATATCATAATTTCGAATATATATAGATAAGCAATAGAAAATGGGAAACACTTCAATCAAAAGAACAGATAGAAAGAAAGCAAGTAGATTTCATGAATGCAAAGTAACAGATCAAACACTCATCTATTCATTAACTATGCATTTAACAGATATAAAAATTATATTTTACCATATCATTGAAATAACATGTACATTTTTCAAACGACAAGTAATGTATTACTGTATTTTAATATATTCAAGAATTCTTAATGTTAGGAAATAAAATATTTATTCTTAATATAAAATTGTTAAAAATAAAAAACATTATTGTTTCGTAATACGTAAGAAAAATACATCTTTGCGTTAATCAAAAAAGAAAATTCAGATTAAAAAATGTAAGCTCCTCGACCAATGAGCTTAATCGATAACGATTACTGGTGGCGCTACTACGTGACGTCATTACGCGGCGCTGTTGATCATACTTGTCACATTCATTCTTCGCGCGCCATTTCTATTGCATTGTTTGTCAAGTATTACTACCAAGTTCAGCCGTTTTAATATTTTTAGATAATACGTTAGTTTTTTTCTTTGGATTTGCACCCGATTTTCTATTTGTTTTTACACAAAAAAATGAAAGAGATAGAGAGAAAGAAAGAGAGAGAAAAAAAAAGAGAAATAGAAAGAAAGAAAGGGATAGAGAGAGAGCAAGATAAGCGTCTACGATCGAGTGGATTCATAGAGACATTGTGTTCTTTCGATATGTGGTAGGCGGAACACGTGTACCTATCGCATAAACCGCGTGCTTCATACAACCTAAGAGGATTTACTTAATAATTATCCATGGAGGAACTATATTTGTGGTTACTGCCCCGCAACAAGGAGCCTACTTGAATCGTTATCATTGTGAGTAATTTAAAAACTTGACAATTATCTTCTGAAGATTACGATAATATTATTGCGTAGAATTTATTAATTCGTAATATGATTCACGTTTGGTCGATAAGGTAGCAATTGTTTCAGTAGGAAAAATTTGAAAGATAATAATCATCGATCTATTTGTACATCTTTTAGCGAAGTTCTTTATCGTAGAGAAAAGAAAATATTAGATCATACGATCTTCTACATGGATGATAGATTTGAATTTTAGATAAATCGAAGATCAATGGAAAAAACATAAAAGAGTTGCAAGAAATGTTTCTTCTAGATCAGCGATGAGTAAGGTCGGCTAATATGCGATGGCGTGACGGCACCGTATTCGATAAAAAATTAATAACAGTCTATGGGCGGATCTGAAAGTTGGTACAAAGAAACTTTTCAAAACAACATTCGATTGCATATTTAATGCGATAACATTGTATCTCTTGTATTGATGGATATTAATGTTGTTCGAAATCGCGTGCAAATTTTTTGTCGTACTGTAAAGGATGTTTTTATATTCTTTCATGAAGACGAACATTATCAGAATACGTATTCCTTCGAAGTTTCGTTTTATTTTTCTCCTTGTTTCTTACAAATTATTTTCTAAAGGAAACAATATAATATTATATCGATAAGAGTAAATATAAAAAGGACAAAATTTATCTTATATTTGAATTTTTTATATCGTCTCTCTTTTTTTCTCCCCCTCTCTCTTATTCTCTCAAGTATACTAGATTAAGAATAAATTTGATTACATATTATTGAATATATTAAAATACGCCGTGTATTTTAATCACACTTTAATGACGAATAGGATAGCGAAGTTTCACGCTTCATGTTCGATATCTGACTGAACGAATTCGGTGACCCTTACACAGCGTCATAGAAAGTGTTATTACGTTTATGCTATACATGGATAAACTGAACATATCTAGCTATTCGCAGTTGGAAGAGTTTTCAAACATCATTGTACAATTAAAAGTCTTATCCGTTATACTTAACGTACGGTTTGATAAATTTCTATTAGTTTGTATTTTGATTCGAGAAACGTATATATAAATATTATTAAAAAGGATATGTAATGTTATTTCATTTTCCCAGTTTTTCTCAAACTTACAAATGGAAGTACATAAAACGAATGGTAATTACACCTTCTTATTGTAGTAGCAATATATTTGTAACATTAACAGTAGGAACTATTTTTTTTCATTGCGTTCTATTGACTATGAAAGGATAAACAAGTAGTTTGTCGTCTCTTAGCTCGGTATTTATTAATGACAGTACGAGCTCGATGGGAAGGCGGCAATCGATAACCGTCTAGCTGTTATTTAAAATGCATCTTACACAATATGGTAAAAATGATGTTGTAAGAATGCACGTTTTATTATTGCATTCTAAATGTAAAATCTAAAATTACTTTAAATAATCACTCTATTAAGAATACGGAAAAAATAAGAAAAACATTAAAAGTGAAAAAACAGAAATGATTGTCATTGTTACAAGTTCATTGACTTTCACTTTGCTCTTATAACTTGTCGTTATCTTAGTTATTGAAATATGCAGCTTATTTTATAAAATATATTACTTGCAGTATTCTGTAAATGATGTAGTAGAATTCGATTTCTCTTTCAAAATCGAAATTTTCCATGCATTTTGAAAACTTTTACGAATGGTGGAAAGTTAGTGCAAACGTGCGATTGGTCGGCAAACCAATGCATAATTTAATATCTAAGGAACAAAGAACTTGAATATTAGAAAACTAGTCGAGGTGACGTATTCGGTATAGACGCATACACTTTATATATACGCGAAAAAGAGGAGAGGCAGAAAAGGAATCGTAATGGGAATTAAACGTAATAGAATATAATGAGAAATAGCAAGGCTTATTTATCGTTGATATTGCACGTATATATATGTAGAACGATGTCTATTTTTAGGATCATCAAAAAAAAAAGCTCGATACCTATTCTCGAATCGATGTAGGTATATCATGCACTGTGTAATATCCCTCGTGCATTCTTTGGATAATATCGGCAAGTGATCTAATCAGAGGCGAGCCCTTTGAAAGAGAGGATAGTTCTCCTTTATAATTTATCATACCACTTGTCAGTTTCCCACTTTCTACTTGTACAACATCGAAGTGTATACATTTACATGCATACGATCGTACTATGTGTCGTTTTGCATCCAAGTCTACTCTCCGGATTGCTCGTGTTGTTTCGTGCGAATGAATAAGTCAAAAGCGGAGTGTCCCTCACAAGACGATTTCCCCCTTTGCGTAGGTCACCTACAACTCCTCACCAATCGCCCTCGATAAGGATAGGAAAGTTTAAGAAATTTTCAAACGATTATCATTTTGCTTTTCGTTTGCTAACCGAACGGCGTTTTTAAACTGAAAACGAATGCAAACTATTTTTCCTGTATCCTTTAAAATTTACAATTAATCTAGTTACTAGATGCAATGTAATCATTATTTGATATATTAATCGAGTAAAAAAAGATTGAATATTTATCGAACATTTATCAATTATTGTTTAATTATTCGATTATTTGATTATTCGATGAAGAAGAGGGAAGTTATAACCCTTCCAGCACGCATTGCCCTTCCAGTTGACACCATTCCCGCCTGCGCCAACGATAGAGCGTTTGCTGTTGGCCAATTAAAATCGCCTGTTGCATATGAAGGGGTTCCATATGCCAGGTTGGCATTACGGAGCGTTAAAAAGTGGGAGTTAAAAAAGTCTTAGTAGATTCTTTACTTTATCATCGGATACGCACCAGGATTTTGTCACTAATATTTGGTTCTCATTGTTAAATAAGGAAAAATAATTTTCATTTTCTTTCTTTTTTTTTTTTTATTCCTAACATATAAATGGAGTCTGTTATAGTCATAATATAATAAAAATTTACACAAGGTTTATAATGAAAATATAGAATATAAAAAATTTTGTAGCACGTGATGAAAAGCGAGAAATCGGTTCTTTGAATTATTTCCTTTTCTTTTCCCTTCTTTTTTTCGAAATTCGTCAAAATTACCTGCAATTCGACTAAGAGGGCTTGCATGTGATACCTTATTCGATTACTACTTTCGATCGAATTGGTGCATTTATTATCAGGCTATCGACAGAAAACGAGAGGAGAGACGCGTCCGTTATCGTTCTTCGCTTTTTGATATTAACTATTCAAAAAGTTCCTATCAAAATTTAGTTTCTATACTTTCCTTTTTACCGAGATCGAGCGACGTTCTTCGATCGAAACTTGGTGAGCTTAAATGCGCGAATTTTTTGAAATGCCTGGCGCGGAGAGGAGATACAGAAAGAACATATCAAAAAAACGGTCTTGTTTTTCCAAAATTCCTCGTGACTCTTGTGAATTCTCGAAATCGTCTTGTTATTCGACTGGATTAGGCTCGAGAGGAGAGATTGTACACGAGCAACCAATCGTCGTGGATTTGACTAACGATGAAGCTAAACTAACGCGGAAAGAAAGAGAAACAAGTGCAAGTAGTTCAGGTATGAAATAGCTGTAATACAAAAAAAAACAGTATTTTTCTGTAAGATATTAAATAATAATAATAATAATAATAATAATAATAATAATAATAATAATATAATTAACATTAATTTAAATATTTTTGCAGAATTTTTAAATTTTTATTTTAATTTAATGCTATTTTCGAACCGATAAAAAAATTGAACCAAAATTATTCATTGACCTTCTTCGTAAAGTGTAGCTTGAGTTATATATATATTTTATATAGCATAAGGGAATTCTTGCTGTTTACGTAACTAAATAACGAAAGAAATATTAATTCATCTGTTGCAGAAGATTACGATATGATAGCTGACAGTTCGAGCAGGTTTCATCGCGATAATAATAGCAACAATGTTATAGCTACGGCATTACGCGATCGCGGATCATGTGTGATCCCGGTTCAACCGAATCATTGCCTTCCTATACATCCAGCACCACCGGTTCCAACTCGAGCTGTACCTATACTAAAATCTCGAAAATCTCGTTCTCCGGTATTGAAACTCGTGAGGGCTTCGATTTTAGACGTGGTCAACGTGGAACCTGCCAAATCAACGATTTTGGAAGCTAACGGCTGTCCGGAGGACAAGAAGAGCGCTACTTTTTTTCTCGAACAAAATCGAGAACAAAAGACTTCTTCAGAAAAAACAAACTCAGTGTTGCAAACGAATCGTAACTCTTGTTCCATTAAAATCGTAGATCGTCTTAAACGGAAGATCACTGATGAGAAATCTAAGGAACGTGGAAAAGATCTTACGAAGGATTCTCTGAAGAAAAGAAGAAAATCTTCTGACATTAACTCAGATGGTGGATTCAACGAATTATTTACAAATTCTACAGCTAACATTGATAAAGAAGGAAAGACAGAGCTCTGTAATGATAAAAAGTGTACAATGTCGATCGTGGGATCAACAACAGAGATTAATTTTGGAAAAGAGAAGATTGTACCACCGCTTCGATTAAAGAAAGTCGTTCAGGAAGGTAACTGAAAAAGAACAAAAACTAATTATTTAATCATTAAACATTTATTTTATTATTCCATTATACCATTATGTTTCATTAGCGTTATTGTTTTTAGGAAAAGATGGCGATCGTGGCAATCCAGAAGTACCATTGAACGGAGATAAGGAGACCAATTATAGAATAGTCACGGGTGCTACGCCTCGTCCAGAGTCACAGTCTACTCCGACAATTTGTGAATATTGGACCAGAGAAAATTTCGATAATGATGATAACTTCGACGTCGCATTGACAAGTTCGACCACTCATAATGTCGTCCATCGATCTTCTGTCAAGAGTGACAATTACAAATTGAAATATAGACGCAATAGACTGAAACGAAAGCTCAAGGAATTACAGGACAAAGCCTTAAATCTATCTCAGGAAATAGCGAACGCGCCCAACATTATGAATTCTAGTCCACAACGAAATACAAGACTTAGACAAATGATGAACTGCTACGAGAAGCAAATAGAAAATGTTTCAAAGTTACTTAATAAATTATACAATGAGAATCCGCTAACAAATAAGTTTGTTGATATTGATGAAAATAAGAGAGAGCATCAATGGGACGACGAATTCGTTCCAAACTTCTCTCCAATTTCCTCACCAGAACCACCGAAACTGTCACCACGTTCCCCAATAGGCTATCACTATAAGTCACCGGATAGCGTTCGAAGTAGTCCACCTGTATTGCCCAAAGTTTCTTTAAATATTTCATCGAACCTGGATATACTGGATGACGCAGAGGTTTGTCGTGAATAATTTTGAACATTGTTAAAATACTCGGATAATAATTTTCTACTTTGCAGACTGTACAATTGACAAACGAATCAACCTGGATTACGTGTGAGAATAATGCGGCAGAAATTTCGTCAATGACAGATACCTTTTGTGAAGAAACAACAAATCATGAATGGGAGTCTAATAATAATACCAACGCAGGTCATCGATTGACAACATCTCCAATTCTTTCGTCAACTTCTATCGACCCGTGTTCTTCAGAAAATGTTGAAAATATTAAAAATGGGGAAGTATTTTTCAATAATAATGGAGAAATTGTAGAAAAAGATAAAATTAAAATAATGCATGGGAAAAAGGAAACCATGAAAGAATTTTCCAAGACAATAGAAGTTGTATCATCGAATCACTCGATTATTGAAGAAATGAAAGAGATAAGAAAACAAGACATACACGATGCCGATAGAGCAATTCAAATTAATATCAAAAATCCTATAATAAGTTCTATCACTGGAGGCTCCGAGGTACCACACAACGTGAGATGTGATCAAATAGACACAACTTTGCCAACGCCATCTATAACGAAAACACAAATGTCATCTTCGATCGATATGATGAATATCTTGCAATTAGGATCGAATTATGATTCTACGCTTTTGAAGAAAAATGTTTCAGAAACTAGTAAAATGGAAGACTCGAAAAAAATACAGAAGGTACACACTGTAGATAATTATGTTTAAGTATTTCGATTGTGATCAACTATTCTAATTAATTCAAAATCTTAGGTACCATCAAGTACGACACAATCAAGGAAGACCAATTATGACTCGATAGCTTCGACTTTCAACCAAGTAGAATATCCTTTTACAGATCAACATTTTCCTACTCAAAGTAGTAATGATAATCGTATCATAACCGAACAATTTCCTACACTTGGTAACTGGGTGGCCAAAATGTCGAAGAAGCAAGTTTCTAAACAGAAATCTAAATTACATACTGTGGAAAATACTATTAGTACCATTTCAATGGAAGAACCAACGCGTGTAAGTTGAAGAATGTTCCATTTTTACTTAATAGAATATTCAATTTTTATCAAATAATAGTATCCTCTTTTATTTGTATTTTATTTCATCAGACTTCAAAGTTCGATACACACAAATTATCACTGAATGAAACAAATACTGCCAATGGTAACAATGTGTTAAATATAACTTCACAATGGAATAAGGAGAGATGGCATCGTCAACATCATCAACAACATCAGCAACAGCAATTATTTCAACACATGTCTACTGGCACAACTCCTCTGTCCCTTCCATCTACTACGACTCTGAATTCAGGAATTTGCACGCCACTCTCAACAACTCAATTTTATCCAAGTAATTATAATGTAAGTGATGATAAATAACAAAAAAGAATAATAAAGAATAGTAAAAAAATTAATTGGATTCTCTTTTACAGATTAATCCGTACAGTGGAGCAACGTTTGGTTATCATTCTGCACTATATCCTGTTTACAATGGTTACCCATATCATTCCCGTTTACATCCAGGAACACCTTTGACAAGTTACCATATACCTATGCAAGATCCTCTTAATTCACCTTTACGTCCATTGTCACATGTTGACAAGCACTTATCCTCTTTGCAAAATCCAAACAGAAATTTTACTTCTGATATTTTAAAATACTCCGGATCACTTCCCGCCGCTAGATTTCAGTCACCAAATGATTTTGGTTTCGATCGACTCAGAACATCTACGAGCAATCATAATAGCGAAGCGAACTGTCTCTCATCGCTATTGCTGGCATCTTCATCTCTGTCATCAGGGACACAACAAACTTTACCACGTACATCTCTTAGCGGATATTCGGCTAGCAATAATCAATATGGACGCAGCAGAATAATACCGGATGTTGTAGCTGCAGCTGCAGCTGCTGCAGTAGTTGCAGCAGCTTCTATCGGAAGACAACGTGCCTCTTTACCTTCTTATAATAAATCTGCAAGCACAGGCATTAATGCTGTCATGGAAATGGATCCTACTCGGCTAACTTCGAATACTACCAATAATCATACTCGAGAACATCTTTTGTCTAATCAAGGACAATCAATTGATGTTGGAATGAAAGAGCCACAATGGAACAGTGCTGGATATCACTCTATACCGAATTTACTTCTAGAAAAATTACCTTTCGTTAGAACAGAACACAATTTTCCTACAACTTCTACACTTTGTAATAATATTCAAGATTCACCATCTATATCAACAGTTTCTTTTCCGCAAATATCAAAAAAGGTTTCTAGAAGCATCGAAAGAGACTGTGAAACGCCACATCTCGGTAAAGTAAATAGGAGCCCCGATACATTAAGTAATCTTAAATGTTCTAATTGTGGTGTAGGTGGATCAATGTTCAAATGTCTTGGATGTGAGGTAGCTTTTTACTGTAACGAAAGATGCCAAACTCGACATTGGAGTATTCATGTCGAAAGGTGTCCAAAAAAAATGCCAAAACTGAAAAAAGTAGCATAAATTGTATATTAAATATATTTTTCCGTAAATCTCATGTACTGTAATTTTTAGTCAATATGTTTGCTAGTCTATAAACGGGCATGCATATCATTACGCTGATTTTCCTTATGTGTTTAAATTAACCTTACTTTTAATCTTTGAATATACAAGAAATAGTATTATGTAGGTGTCGTTTTTCTAAAATAGGATTTTTAGTTTCTCAAATTACGCTTGAAGCTATAAATTTAAATATTATTGCGTGTCATCCTTGCATATATTACATATATGCATATACACAAATACGCATACACTCGCACATGCACATTTATGTATATTGTTGTATGTATATTATGTATTTTGAACAATTTTCTAAAAACAGTATATAAGAGAAAATAATTCCTTTTTGAAAGTACAAAACAGAAAACAATGCGCTTAACAATACTCGAATATCAATATGCTCTAGTCAATTATTAATAACAGCAAAAGCATTTATATTTAACCCATCAAATGTTATTTTATAATATATATATATATATATATATATATATATATATATATATATATTTATAAAATATATATTATAAGTAATATATATATATATATATTTATTTATTTATTTATTTATAAAACATATATTATAAATAATATATATATATATATATTACTTGATCTTTATATATAAATTTTCTTACTTACAATTAATAATCAATTTAGTATTCATTATCTATATAATAATAATAAAGATAATCATGATTACAGAAAATATAAAATTGCAAGAACATTTATGTTTTAATTGATACACTAATTATGCCTTAATGGTTGTCTAGTTCTGATGGTTTACAATGTTATTGAATAGTTTGAGAGCTTTGTCATAATAAGGTTTAATTTCCTGTTATACTCTTTACAACCAAGCGTTTATATGAGGCTATTCTGCATGTGGACCATATTTAACTAAATCTAGAGTTTAATATATAATATTTATTGTAATATATCTATTTTAAATAACAGAATTATAATAATACAAATGTAAAAAAGTTGTGTAACGAAAAACATAAAAATATAGATTACTTATAAACTCACATAATTGCTTCAGTCGATAAGCTCCAAATAAGACTTATACTAGTTTTATTGCTTATAAGAAGTAATTTCTTTTTAACCAGATGTTTTCTATAAAATCAAGACAATTCAGCATTTGTACTTTATACTTTTCTATTTGAAGATTTATATAACTTTCCTGTCTGCAAAAAATTAAAGCTGTTCACCACCTTTTGTTCAAAGTGTGTATGATTTCAGCAACAGATATGGACAAAATATGAACTACGAATACAAGAGGGTACCGTTGTCCTCATCAGACCTCTATCATATCGGCGTACAAGCTTGTTGGTTATTCCCCTCTAAGCGTAATACATAACAATTGGTTTCGTTAAGTAGAGTAAGTAGTATTAATGACTGTGAACGCACACTTACTAATCTCTCATATGTATGTCTTTCTTTGATAGTAGCGTGCATCTCGCAATGATACATGCTAGATACAACATCTGTATGCATTTGTTATACAATAAATGCATAGAAAATAATAAATATAATTGACATATATAAGAATTAGTATATAAATTTGCGAAAAAAATAAAAATTTGTCCAATATTTACTTAAAAATAATTAGTGAATAATTATATATTATATTATTTTAATCCAAATTAAAACATGAGTTCATAACCTATGAAGTAGAACTCCTAGCGCTTTTTTTCTTACATGGTTGCCCTTGTAGGACTAGTCTACTCTATACGACTTTGACTATTACTACTACTAACATTACTACTACTCCTGATAATAATAATAATAATATAATATAATATAATAATAATAATAAAAATGTACATAAAATTTAATTATATATATAGATATTATTTAATGTTGATTTTATATTATAATAGTAAAGATAATTAGCTTCGACTGGTCATGAGTAAGAAACAGTGAAATGAGTGGAAACAATGCAATCGATCATAAGATAGTAAGACAAGAAATGATAGCGGACGAAAATAAAAGAAACGTTTCATACTTTTCTTCATATTTCGCGTTTTTTTAGACGTATCTATTGATGGGCAGTCATGTGTCGAAATTATCAAGGACACGATTTGTTGAGAGTTCGTCCATAAAACGTCACGTAAATTGATACATTTTTCCTTCTTTTATTATCATAAATTATCATCATTATATGTGTCATGATGTATACAATATAAGTATATTCTTCTGTTTTTTTTATTACTATATTATTACATTACGTATTATTATAGTAATAATAATAATACAAAGTGAATTCCTACAGAGGAAACCATAACAAAATAGCACTGGGAAAAAAATCTCGTAAATGATGTGGATTCATGTTCTGATCTTTATTAAAAATAATATATAATATATATATTCACTAATTATTAATTTTGAAAAAATAATCAACAAGTGTATATACTTTATATGCATGTTATCGAATAAAATTATACTGCTGCTGTGTCCTATCTAGCACAGATTATCGTGAAATTCATGTCAACCAATAGTGGAGGAAATAAATATAAGATATTAGATAGTAACATCTTACTAAATTATCATAAATATCAAATCAATAAATATCAAAAATAAGGAAAAAAGATCAAATTAGTTTATTATTTTTGTTTACATCGATACAATAAAAAAAACCAAAATCGTTTAGCCTCGAGAACTTACAATTTCTTGTATTACGAATCTAAATGCTTTCCAATATGCTACACATTGCTTATAAAATCTCTACCTTTTAATCTATAAAATCTGAAAAGAACTATACATTTCCCAAAATTGAACAATATTTTAGAAACTTAGATCCATTAACATAAACGATTAGATGCAATAATCATTTTCTTAATAAATATTTCCTTATTTTTGTCATAGAATTATCTGTCCAAAACTCACTAAAATGACCGAGTAAGTTACCTTAGTTTTTTCGTGCGAGCATCATGAAACGTATTTCTTTGCGTTTGAAAATGTTCAAAAAATCTGGGAATTAGCACACAAACAAAAAGGCAATCGTTATCTCATAGAAACAAAACATATACCATCTAAGCATGTATATGAAAATCAGTAACTCAGGTACGAACTTCTCTTCTATCGCAAATTTCGAGAGACACTAACTATAAAACTTTTTCTTCACGAAAAATGTTGGAAACACCATTTATACCATCAATGAAACAGATGTAATTCTTAACCAATTTTGATGAACAACGTCTCATTTTAAAAACGAAGGTTTAATCTATGGCGCCCTTTCAGCGGACTTTTGAAAAAGTTTTTTATTTGTGCATAAGCTATTTTTGAAAAATACCATTTTTTAATACAACTTTTTTTAAAGAAAATAAAGCTTTTTCAGTCTTCCGAAAGGGTGCTGTAGAAACCTTCATTTTTAAAATGAGACCTTGGTCGTTAAAATCGGTTAAGAATTACGTCTGTTCTCATTAATGGCGTAAACCATTAAAAAACCAGGGATGATGAACAGGCTTAAAAAAACAAGAAGTAAAAAATAAGATTAAAAAATGTTCATTATATTATATTATTTGAAATTTTTCATGAATTCAAAATTTTAATTTATTGATATTATTATTATTATTGCTAAGTATAATGAACAATTTATTCTAGTATTTAAATGTTGCTATTCTAAATACTCATCAATTTTAACGTGTGTTTTTGATGAATAATACCAACGTTGGGGTATTTTATATTCTTTATACAAGTAACTCACAATTGTAATATTATATAAAAATATTCGTCAATATATATTATCTGATAAAATAAATTATTCAATCAAAAATCTATTTAAAATCATTATATTCTATAATTGAAACTTTTTTAAATGGATTTCGGAAATAATATACTTAAACTTAATTATCTTTATTTTGCTTAAAAGAATATACCAATGACTTAGAATAATTTACAGTGCCTTTAATGATTGTAAAAATAAATCATAATATACTGATTGTTGTTTACAATAATGGAAATTATTTTACTCAAAATAAAAATAAGGAAAATTATTATTTCGTAAAAATTTGTGACTTATTATAAGAATTTTTGATCATACTAAACATCTATCAAGATTAGACAAACTAAAGAAATTAATTCTTTCAAGAAAAAACTGACTTCCTCAACAACATTCTGTTTAATAAAAAGTCAAATAGACAGACAGACAGACAGACAGGCAGAGAGAGAGAGAGAGGGAGAGAGAGAGAGAGAGAGAGAGAGAGAGAGAGAGAGAGAGAGAGAGAGAGAGAGAGAGAGAGAGAGAGAGAGAGAGAGAGAGAGAGAGAGAGAGAGAGAGAGAGAGAGAGAGAGAGAGAGAGAGAGAGAGAGAGAGAGAGAGAGAGAGAGAGAGAGAGAGAGAGAGAGAGAGAGAGAGAGAGAGAGAGAGAGAGAGAGAGAGAGAGAGAGAGCTGGAGCACTTTCCAAATGGATATAAGGCAGAATAAGTGCATAATTCGATATAATATTTTTTTCTAACGATACAAAGATGTGTAGAATAAATTAAAAGTTTACTACCATATCTCGCTTAACCTTATTTCGGTAATACATTTTACATTTTACATTTTTGGTAGTACATACACAATTGTGCAAGAGGTCTATAAGCATAAATTGCTATGCTCCGTTATGAAAACGCATAAAAAAATTAAGTTCGCCGAAGAGTCATATAACACAGAAATAATTTAGAGAAAAGCGAGAAAATTTGAAAACTGAGGGAGACACTATCACCAGTGAAAAAATGGCGGACTGTGAGAAAGAGGAGGCTCATAATCTCGTAAGCTATTAGCCTGCCTAACGTTTATCTAATCACTTAAGTACTTCGCTATCTCTCATTTCAACGATAATCAACCTTATCTATCGTTTACTGATTGCACGTAGTTTACCTAATCGATGAATGACGGTTCGAAGGTTATGTTGTTCAATTCGATGTTTGTCATTTTTGGGGTTTTTTGCTTCTTTTATCTTCTTCTTTTTTTTCATTTTTATATCTCATTCGATTATAATAATTGATAATCAATTTTCATTTTAGCAAATGGAATTTGAATGGCTCCTACATGAAGAAGTTCATTCTTCATTATTCCAACTTCGCAATATCTTAATGGTTTGTGCATTATAATAGATAATTGTTACAGTTTACTATTATAAATTTGTATAAAAGATTATAGATGTAATAATATATGTATGGAAAATTTTGAAAAGTTGAAAAATATAAAATATGTCATATAATTTTATAGGAATGTGCACAGCGATTTCCATTGGCCGTTTTTGGTAATGATCAACTCAATAAGACAGACAGATTTGTATTTGCAGCTCCACATGATCAAGTAAAGTGTGTCGCAGTACTTACTGGTGATAGTATCACAAATGCAGTAAGCAATATTTTAGCAAAGTTATATTAATTTTATATTGTCAAGTTTATACTAAAATTTAATAATCAAATTCCAAAATGTGTTGTTAATTATATATTTTTTCTTAGGAAGTTAATTTCAAAGTACAACGTCAACCAAATGTTAGCATGAGAACAAGTATAGTAAATGAACATCCCTGGAAATTACAACAAATACAAGATGCCGCTAATCATTTACAACAAGCTATTGCACATATTGATAATGTTGATCGGCATTATCTTTTCAAAACATCAGACGAAGTTATGCATGTACTAGGTAATATATTAGGTAGTCTTCAACGGAGTAGAACTAGTTTAATTGTTCCTAGAAAGAAAACCATTGATGATCTCATCAAAAGTCGTAATATGGTAAATAAAAATTTGGACAAATTTTTATATTTGCTTATTCATGTGTTTAGTAAATATGATCTAAATTATGATTTATTTCATTTTCAGAAGTCTTTAAGTCCTAATCTTCCGGAGAATTTAGCTATTAGCTTTTACATTCAAAGCTATAAACTGGTTTTAGCAGTCTATCAATTAGAAAATGCACATGGTAGTGTTAAACATGAGACTCAACAAGCAGAATGTAGTGTACCATGGTTAAATGATGCATTGGTACTTTTAACCATAGCATTACAACTTTGTCAACGTCTGAAAGATAAGGTCTGATTGTACAAAATTGTGTCATTCATTGTACAATGAATTCTCATAGTTTTCGTTTTTTTTTTATTTTTCAGGTTTGTGTTTTCTCTCTGTATAAAGATTTTACGGTGAGCACACATGTTCCTTCAACTACCAATTGGTAACCTTAGATATAATTTTATCTTCAAAATACTGTATTATAAAAATGGTGCTATATAAGGATTATTGTTTCTAGTTAGTTGCTAGTTCAATAAGTCAATAGTGCTTGTTAAAGTCATTGTATGGACAGAGGATGGCATCTCTTTTATTATTTTAACTGCTATCGCGCACGGAACTTGTTCTTACAAATTTCAGAAGTAATTATTTATAGTACGTGCCTAGAATAATATTATAATAATTTAATATTTCACTGTAAAAAACTAGAAGATGGAGGTGTAAAATCAAAAATTGTATTCCCATGTTATTTTGCACATTACATAAAAATTACCAACTACATACAGCAGAAAGAGGAAACTCAAGTATTTTGCCAATTATGTGTGTGCCTAAAGTTGTATTGTAATACTTCTTTCCTTTAAGTATTTTATATATTTCCAAATTTAACAAATTTTTGATAGAAGATTGCATCTTCTACTCAAACAAGTCTAAGTTGATCGAAGCACTTTCTAATGTTACTTTTAAGGAATTTTTTTCGGTCAGAATTGTTTCGTAAGATGGATCCATGTAAAAAACATTTTGAAAAAAAGGAAAAAAGGGAATTTTTTTATTTAAATTCATTTTGACAAAAGTTCCCTAAATAGAAATATTACATAAAACCAATTTTTTGTAGAAAATATTACAAGTATTGATGGTATTGTTCCAAATAAAAATAATCAATTTTTATTATTACATACTTTATGTACATATATGTATAAGATATATTGACTTTTCATTTCTTTATGTATAGTAAAATCTTCATCTGTATGTATTTTATTATTAGAAAGATAAGACCTTTAAGAGACTTCTCTTAGGACTATGTATGGATACACAAAATAATTGTTATGTATGAATATTTAATACGACCAACTTTGAAGGAAATATTGTCTTCCGATATTTTCTAATTACATTGAACGTTGATCGAAAACAAATGAAAGTTCATTTACAGTCTTTATATTATTTAACTATTCTTTTATTCGTTTACATTTTTCGTTTGGTTTTTTCTTCAGTTATATTTATTGTATAGAGAAAAATATGATTATATTTTTCTTATTTTTTTCTACTTGAATAGTAAAAAATATGATCAGAATATTACCGTATTCTATCAATTTGAAGTGATTTTTCTAGAAAAAGTATCCATCTTACAAATAGGCATTCTCGTCTTAAACTTTTAACGATTGTCGTTTGGTGTCGCTTATGATTTCCGGAAAAATTCTGATAGATTCTTATTTATGCGTATGCATATATACACACGTACATGTATAATTTGCAATTATTTAGTGACAAATTATAAAATTAATTGGTAGTTTGCATAAAGTGTAAATAATCGAGTAGGCTATTGATATTTCTATCATATCTAGTATGGACAAGAAAACTTAAACGAATTGGCAATGAAAAAAAAAACAAATTTATAAAATGTCGAATTGATTAAGAAAGATGTGATGTAAATATTAAATAAAAAAATGACATATCTATTGCATCAATACTTCTAAATTGAAATATTATTATATAAAATAATAATATGCCTAATACTATTACTTCTTCTATTAATTTACAAAACAAAATTATAATTTTGTTTGAATTATAACATGTTATATACATGACTACCGATTTATTTGTAAATGTAAGTTCTTTATTAATATATCATCTTGATCAAGTCGTAACTATTTTACTATCTTTTTTAATAGTTATTTCTTACTGGCATCTGGGTATTTGCTGCAGTTTACGCTGTTTGCAGAGATATTATTTCACCACCTGAAAATCCAGAGGATACAATTAATGAAAATGGATGGTCACAATTTATTCTTAACAAAGTAAAACAAGCTGAACATTGGAATAAATGTGATAAATATAGAAATATTTCAAACAATATTAGAATGTCCGGGTATAAGTAATGACTAATATTATAATCTAAATACTAAGATTATTTGAGTTAGATATAAAAATAATATATTACATAGATTATAAATTTTAGTTTATATACAAATTATAAGTAAAATGATAATTTACATTTACTGAAATTCTTGTTTTCTATTCTTTTTATGATTTAGTTTCATACAAAAATTGCATATATTGGAGATATACATATGTATATATTATTTATATATATATATATATATATATATATATATACACACACTATATAATACTTTATATTATTTAAAAATACTTGAAAGATTTTAATTTTAAAAGTACTTATTAAATTGATGTTCATATGAAATAAAACAGATAATATTATTGTATACCACTTGTTATTATATTTAATCTATTAAACGCAGCTTTGAATTTGTAACAAACGAATAATGACCCTTAAAATGATCTGTCAAAATTGAAGAAAGAGAAAATGGTTAGAAAATAAAATAAAATTAACAGAAAAAATATTTCTTGTACACATGAACTATACTAAATAATTAATATTTGGATACATTTGTCAAAATGGTTATTGAAGATACAACAGTAGCCATTAAAGTAATAACATTTTCTCATAGGATTACTATACTAATCTTATATTAATAATAAGCAATTACATATTATTTATAATTATTTTTCTGATTATATTTCTTATTAATAGATAGGATATATATTGGCATGGGCTTTTATTGCCAGTTATTATTTTGTATGGAGAGGAGATGAAACAGCACATCCAACAAATTATGTAGATGAATCTGGTTGGGTTTCAGATGGAACTTACGCTCAAATTATGACAGAAAAATCTCCATCACCCGAAGAATAAAATAGATCAAATCATCAATTTTTAAAATATATATTAATATTTTAGAAATATGTGCAACTGCAACAATATCAATTTAATAAAATAATAAACACATTTGTATTCATTACATTACATAACATTCGAATAATATTGTAGAAATTCAGGATTATATACTAGATAAATAGTAAACAAATAAAAAATTATAAATTTATACTATTTAATCATCTCTTTTTTTGTTTACATTTTTATTCTTCATCTTTCATGTAATATAATGCATTTACTTTTAAGATAAGAATTCTCTATTATAAATAATTAACAAAAGTTTATACACAGAAAAGTAAATTCTTTTTATATTTGCTAAGAAGCTTTCAGTTCTGCTTCAGATGAAGCAGGTACAGTCTCACCTTGATTCACCTCTGTGTCATTTTGTAATTGTTCTTGCCACATTGCATGATAAATTCCATCATGCGATATTAATTCTTCATGTCTACCTCTTTCAACTATTTCACCATTTTTTAAAACTAAAATTTCATCCGCATGTATTATAGTAGATAATCTATGTGCTATGATGATGGTGGTACGATTTGTACAAACTCTATATAATGCTAGTTGAATATTACGCTCGGTATGAGTATCTAATGAACTTGTCGCTTCATCTAGAAGAATTATTTTAGGCGCCTTTAATATTGTTCGTGCTATAGCAACTCGTTGCTTTTCTCCTCCGCTTAGACGAAGACCGCGTTCACCAACCTAAATGAATTCAATGCATGATTAATATCAGTAATTTATTAAATAGTATAATTCTTTTTTCATAATAATTAAAGATTATGTGAAACCTGTGTTTCATAGCTATTTGGAAATGTTAAAATTCTTTCATGAATGTCTGCATTCTTTGCTGCTTCTATTATATCTGCTTCTGGAGCATCTATGCGACCATACTGGATATTATATTTAATCGTATTATTAAAAAGAACTGTATCTTGAGGTACAACACCTATATTATAGAAAATATTTTATAAAGATATCTAAATTAACATTTATATAATAATCTGATATTACCTATAGCATTTCTCAATGAGCTTTGTTTGACAGTTTTTACATTTTGACCATCTATTAATATAGAGCCTTCTTCTATATCATAAAAACGGAAGAGTAATCGCAGTATAGTTGATTTTCCAGCACCAGAGGGACCAACAAAAGCAATTGTTTTTCCTGCAGGTGCAATGAAACTAATATTTCGTAATACTATTCTATCTGGAGTATAGCTAAAAGAGACATTCGAAAATTCTACTTGTCCCCGTTTAACTTCTAATTTTCCAGCACCAGGAGGATCTATTATTTCTTGTTCTTCTTTAAGAAGATCAAACATATTTTCCATATCAACAAAATTTTTTTGAATAGCTCTGTTGATAAGAAAAAATGAAGATAGAAAATATATAATATTATAATAACTAATTCAGTTAATATTGAGAAAAATAGATAAAAATAATTTACCTATAGTAAGTACCAAACCAATTAAGTGGAACATAAAGTTGTATTATATAACTTGTAAACAAAATGTAATCACCAATTGTTAATCCTGTACCAGTTACAACCTACAAGAAAAATAAACTCAAAAATAATTTTTTATTTATGATTAATAAATTAATCTCTACAGAGAAGCTAGACTATAAATCTATTAAATAAATAGTACCATACTAACCATATGAAGACAAAGTAAAGAACCAGTTAATAAACCACAACAAACAATTATATTTTGTAAAATATTTAAGATATTTAATGTGACCATAGACTTCCATTCTTCAATTTGGAAATCTAAAATAGCTTTTTTATAACAATCTACTTCATAAGATTCTGCACTATAATATTTAACTGTTTCGAAATTTAGTAAACTATCCACACTGCGTGCTTTTTGTGCATTATCTGCTAAATTCATCCTTCTTTGAAATTTAACACGCCATTCAGTGACCATTATGGTAGCAGCTAATAACATTAAAATGGATAATAAAATTCTTTTTATATGATTACAAAATAATATTTATACTGTCATGGTTATAATATATTACAAAAAATTTGTAAGATCTTACCTATGTAGAGACTCATTGTTATAAATACGATTAGACCAAACCATTTATTAAAGGTACTTATAAAAAAAACAATAGCCACAATAATATCAACGATTGTTGGTATAATTGAAAATAAAATATAATTTAAAAGATTATTTATAGAATCAGTACCACGATCCATGACTCTTAATACTTCTCCAGTTTTTCTACCAAGATGCCAACGTAAGCTTAATCCATGTAAATGTCTAAAAGCAATAAATTATTTTAAAGATCGGTTGTTTTATTTATTTTTTTATGTAAAATAAAAAAGGGATATATACTTAAATAATTCAACCTCGATTTCTTGAGTAGTAAATTGTTGAATACGAATCCATAAAAATGATCTTAAATTATTTAATAATCCCATTCCACCAGTTCCACCACCTTGTAAAAATTTAAATGCAACATATATCAAGATCAGATCCCATCTATAAAAGATATGAATATATTAGATTATAAGGAGATATTATATTGTGTATATTATAATATAATTATATTTCACACCGAAACTCTGTAGGTGCAACCTTTATGCTGTCCACAATTTTTCCATTATAAATAGGTACATATAAGTTTATTAAACGTCCTAATATAACTAATCCAAAGCAAAATATAACTCTCAATTGAAGTAAAATACTTGTTTTTGGCCATAAAAATGGAGCTAAAGTTTTAATTTTATACCATGCATTTTTCCATGCTGAAGAATTATCCTCAGTTCTCTATGAATGTACATGAAAAAAAAATCTAATTATTAAAAAAAAGAAGAAAACATTCATATTTATTTATGCATTCATTTATTTAATAAAAAAGTAATTCTTTCTTTCTTTGTATATAATATTAATGTAAAAGAGAATAACTTACATTGTGATATCTTGACCATGGAGTTGTATCATTGTCAAGTGTAAAATATTCAGGATCTGTATTAGAAGATATTCCTGGTGCTCTTAGACCTATAGCAAAGATCATTAAGTTACTAAAGTATCGTAACACAAATAGGGCCATTTCAATTTGATCTGTCAGTCTGGAAATAGCATGGTATATAAATAAATTTAGAAATTTGATATGAAATATCTAGTAGAGTTAGGACTTATAAACGTTTTTTTATTACTATACTTACGAATTTAAATGAAACCACCATTCAAGTTTTCCAATATTAACAAAAACAAGATTTTCAGCAACTAATGATAAGGTCCAAAATCCCAGTAAAACAAGGCCATGACCACGAGGTGGTACACTTGGTAATAATTTGTGTCTTTCTATACTTAGTATATGAACAGAATATGGATAAATAATCACTGTCAATACTGTTGTTAGTATCTACAAATTCAATGGTTTAGCGTGGTAATATAATATATATATTTCTAATGCCTATATATATACGGAGTAGGAATGTGATAGGTTATAACTCACCATGTATCCATAAATTTTCTTATCATTCAAAACAGCTGCTTGTAAAATTATTCTTAATACACTAAGTAATGGAACCAAATAAAGAAAAAATTTTTGTAAATTGTATAGCTTACTTCTTGGTAATACATTTGTATTAATTTCTGTTCCATACTTGCGATACATCCATAACTGGATTGTCCCAAATATCATTAGATACAAAAAAATTATAGTTATGCTTACTGTATCCATAAAACATTTTGACATACCATGGTTAATCCAAATTTCAGTAAAACTGATATTTGGAGGACAATATGCTATCGCGATAGCCATTATATCCTTCTTTAGTTCTTAATAATATAATTACTTAAGATATTATTTTCTTACTTTCGTCTTTTATATAATTTTGTACTATCTAAAAATTATTAGAACTAGATTAAATTCTTATATAATTCAAATGACATTGACATAAATTGTTCATTGTTATATCACACATTATAAATTAATCATCAATAGTAATTAACTTTACTAATCTAATGGCCTATGTAATACATAAAATTGTAATAATCATCTAAGTATTGATTATTCATAATTTAAAAGTTAAATCTAACATTATATTATATTATGATCTATATAGTTAATTTAAAGATCAAAACTGATTTTAGATAAAAAAGCAGTAAGATTTTTGATAATAAAACTACGTATAACAGCAAATAAAACATTATTATACAATGTTTAGTAATAAGATCCATAGTCTTTACCTTTGAATAACGATCATTGATACATTCTGCTTTGAATTTCAATGTAAAAATTATCGAAATATTTTTGCTTTAGCTTTAGAGTACCAAAAAAATAATTAAAGGATTCTTTTTCCTGCGTTTAATGGGATAAGTTGATATCGGACGATTCTTCATTCATCTTTAATTGATTCGAAAAATTTCGTAATTTGTTTCAATTGATTTTGTTTTTTCTTCTTTCTAATAATTTTATTAAAGTAATATATATTAGAATACACAAAAATCACCAGGCATGTTTTCGACAGTCATCGTGTGTGACGTCACAAAATGGCGAAAATATACGTCATCAAAGTACTCTTGTTGGAAGTTTGTTCACGATTGGTCATTGCTTCTAGTCTGAGATTGGCGCACTCCTTCAGACGCGTGTTGCAATTTTTGTAAGTGTAAAAAGTTATTTTAACGTTATTTTAAGATTTACGATGAAAAAATATTATTTCAATAATATCGTTACTTTTTTACTCAGTAACCTTCTGAGTATGATTAAAAACACAGATTTATCATTCTCTCATGGAGAAGATAAATATCATTACCTTTTTTCCCAGCTGTGATATAAGTGATTAACAAATCACTTTTATTGCTTTATTTATCCATACATGCGTGAAAAGGGCCACTACCACCAGTATCTCTTTGCATCGAAAACATGAAATTTTATCAAAGAATAATCAATCACTGCAGTATATTCACTACCATAGAAGGCTTAAATGTAATTGACTTCTGTTCGAAGGTAGACATTACTTGATATTACGAGATATTTCTGTTTAGATATGCTTTCGTATACCTGAGCTTATGAATAAAAACGGGACTGAGCATTTTAAGTCCTTTAAGGAACGTTCTTTTGGCCAAATTTAGAACAATTTAATCCAGATTGGTATTGTAGCATTATTTGTAGCGTCGTTGTAGCTTCGGTTAACCTAAAGTGGATGTTTTGCATAAAAATTTTGCTGACATCGACATTAACATCTCTATGTTAAATATTAGATATTTATATTCCATTATGGTTTTATTTATCAGCTCAATTTTGATGAGATTTGAATTCAGTAAGACTTTCATCACTCCTTCATTTCGTTCATCATTCGCCGCCTGGGTAATCGTAGGGCTGCTGGAAATGAAAAAATATCCTTGTTCATATTAGAACATGCTTCAGAATATTTTTCTTTTACATTATATATTTATGACTTGTTTAACTCTTAGTTATTTTCTAAACTCTTGGAAAATAGATTAATTGCCATCTTACAAGTCAACAATATTTGGTTGCTAGTTACAACTCCATCAGTCTCAGTTCTTGGCAGGGTTTTTGAAATGTGCATCCATATTAAGTTACTCAATTTTCTGGACGACAATAAAATTGTTATCGATCAGCTTTATGCGGGCCTATTCGACCTTACATCAAATCATTCGTATTGCTCGATGTGTTTCATTTAACGCGATAAATTTGTGATTCATCGTTGCCATGATTTTATTAAATCTGTCTAAAGCTTTCGGTACAGTTTGACACGACGCTTTATTCTTTAAATTAAGACAACTTAGTGTAACATAGAGTTTCATTAAATCCTATTATAAAAATAGATTTTTCCATGTTTTCCATAAAATAAATTTTTCAATCTCTCATTTCGTTCTAGCTGGTGTCTGCTAAGGTTTTATCTTAGTCAGTTTTGTTCAATATTTATATAAATGTTATCCCCACGTATCCCCAGCCTCATCTAACTTTGTTTGCCAATTACACTGCTGTACTTTTGGCATCTTGGAAATCTAAAAACATAATTTCTAGACTTCAAGATTAACTGAATCTTATCATAAAGCTGTTCATCACTCCTGGTTTTACAATGATTTACTGCATCAATAAGAACAGGCGTAATTCTTCATTGATTTTGATAAACAGTCTCATTTTAAAAACGAAGGTTTTATTTAGAATACATCTTTTTCGAATTTTTGAAAAACCTTTACTTTCTTTGAAAAAAATCGTGTTAAAAATATTTTTTCTAGAATAGTTTATGCACAAATAAAAAACTTTTTCAAAAGTTCGAAAAAATAGGGTTTTAGAATAAACCTTTGTATTTTAAATGAGAACTTGTATATAAAAATTGATGAAAAATTACTCCTATTCTCACTGATGGCATAAATGCTGTTTTCGACACGCTTGCCTGTTTGGTTATGTGCGTAAATAGCTGATGTTCAGATTTTCTGAGCTCAAATTTTATATTTTATACATTAAAAAGATAAAAGTTCTATAAGAAATGTATAACATATCGGGAAGCATCTAGATTCGTAATACAGGGATCGTAAGTTATGTAAAATAAATTTCACTATCTTTTTAGAACTACAAAAGTACGCTGTCCCCATCAGACCTCTATCATATCGGCGTACAAGCTTGTTGGTTATTCCCCTCTAAGCGTAATACATAACAATTGGTTTCGTTAAGTAGAGTAAGTAGTATTAATGATTGTGAACGCACACTTACTAATCTCTCATATGTATGTCTTTCTTTGATAGTAGCGTGCATCTCGCAATGATACATGCTAGATACAACATCTGTATGCATTTGTTATACAATAAATGCATAGAAAATAATAAATATAATTGACATATATAAGAATTAGTATATAAATTTGCGAAAAAAATAAAAATTTGTCCAATATTTACTTAAAAATAATTAGTGAATAATTATATATTATATTATTTTAATCCAAATTAAAACATGAGTTCATAACCTATGAAGTAGAACTCCTAGCGCTTTTTTTCTTACGTGGTTGCCCTTGTAGGACTAGTCTACTCTATACGACTTTGACTATTACTACTACTAACATTACTACTACTCCTGATAATAATAATAATAATATAATATAATATAATAATAATAATAAAAATGTACATAAAATTTAATTATATATATAGATATTATTTAATGTTGATTTTATATTATAATAGTAAAGATAATTAGCTTCGACTGGTCATGAGTAAGAAACAGTGAAATGAGTGGAAACAATGCAATCGATCATAAGATAGTAAGACAAGAAATGATAGCGGACGAAAATAAAAGAAACGTTTCATACTTTTCTTCATATTTCGCGTTTTTTTAGACGTATCTATTGATGGGCAGTCATGTGTCGAAATTATCAAGGACACGATTTGTTGAGAGTTCGTCCATAAAACGTCACGTAAATTGATACATTTTTCCTTCTTTTATTATCATAAATTATCATCATTATATGTGTCATGATGTATACAATATAAGTATATTCTTCTGTTTTTTTTATTACTATATTATTACATTACGTATTATTATAGTAATAATAATAATACAAAGTGAATTCCTACAGAGGAAACCATAACAAAATAGCACTGGGAAAAAAATCTCGTAAATGATGTGGATTCATGTTCTGATCTTTATTAAAAATAATATATAATATATATATTCACTAATTATTAATTTTGAAAAAATAATCAACAAGTGTATATACTTTATATGCATGTTATCGAATAAAATTATACTGCTGCTGTGTCCTATCTAGCACAGATTATCGTGAAATTCATGTCAACCAATAGTGGAGGAAATAAATATAAGATATTAGATAGTAACATCTTACTAAATTATCATAAATATCAAATCAATAAATATCAAAAATAAGGAAAAAAGATCAAATTAGTTTATTATTTTTGTTTACATCGATACAATAAAAAAAAACCAAAATCGTTTAGCCTCGAGAACTTACAATTTCTTGTATTACGAATCTAAATGCTTTCCAATATGCTACACATTGCTTATAAAATCTCTACCTTTTAATCTATAAAATCTGAAAAGAACTATACATTTCCCAAAATTGAACAATATTTTAGAAACTTAGATCCATTAACATAAACGATTAGATGCAATAATCATTTTCTTAATAAATATTTCCTTATTTTTGTCATAGAATTATCTGTCCAAAACTCACTAAAATGACCGAGTAAGTTACCTTAGTTTTTTCGTGCGAGCATCATGAAACGTATTTCTTTGCGTTTGAAAATGTTCAAAAAATCTGGGAATTAGCACACAAACAAAAAGGCAATCGTTATCTCATAGAAACAAAACATATACCATCTAAGCATGTATATGAAAATCAGTAACTCAGGTACGAACTTCTCTTCTATCGCAAATTTCGAGAGACACCAACTATAAAACTTTTTCTTCACGAAAAATGTTGGAAACACCATTTATACCATCAATGAAACAGATGTAATTCTTAACCAATTTTGATGAACAACGTCTCATTTTAAAAACGAAGGTTTAATATACCGTATATTATTATTGAAAAAGTTTTATTTTATTTGAAAAAAATCGTGTTAAAAAATGATATTTTAACATGAAACCTTGTTCATTAAAATCGATCAAGAATTATGCCTGTTCTCATTGATAGCATAAACCTTTAAAAAATCAGGGGTAATGAACAACCTTAAATTGCGTTGATAGAATCCTGTTCCAGTATCTGACGAGATTTAAACTTTTTACGTTTTTGGCGTATGCAACAGTTGTAGTAAAGTGAAACCAAAGAATTTTGAAAATCTCAAATCTGTAGGACTTAGAGACTTGATTATTACGTATTTAGTCCGCCGAAACTTTTGGTAATATTACTAGAAAAGATGTTGATAATATTACTAGAACTTTTGATAGAATTATAGGAATCTCTAATTTTCAGGATTTTGATCTATGGCCAACTCACGTCATAAAGTTATACGAGAGAATTTTTAAAATTTTCGATTTCGTCTCAATCAAAATGTAATTCTTATATATTGCGGTCCGCTGAAAAAATTAGTAATATTTTTAGAACTGTAGTACAATTTCTGTAGTACAATTTCTGTAATACAATTTCGGAGTTTTACGATCTTTAGCAAATCGCAACACGCGGATCTGCGATACGTCGCCAATTTTCCTCGCTTCTGCAGACGCAGGAATGTCCCACCCCCTAAGATTTGCCTTAGAGGGGTTTGCGTAGAGATCAGAACCAGTGTTAAATACCTGGGCATAGTGATAGACTCAAGGATGTCGTTCAGGCCCCACTTTGAGGCCGTAATCCCTAAAGCCGAGGATATCCTCCGGTACCTTAGAAGGCTCTTTTCGAACCTTCACGGACAGGGGGAGAGGAAGCAGCGCCTCTACGGCGGCGTGATCCACTCGGTGCTCTTATATGGGGCGCCGGTGTGGTGGTGCGCCGTCATGGAGGACATGAGGATCGGGCGGGCTGTTCGGAGCCTTCAAAGGAAGGTGGCGATCCGGGTGTGTTGTGCCTATAGGACGGTCTCCTTCCATGCGGCTATGATGATTGCGGGGATTACTCCTCTCGCTCATTTAGCACCCCAGCTGGCGGAGACGTATGCGGCTGTTAGGGACACAGAGAAACCTGTTCCCCCGTGTACTAAGGCTGTATTGGATGCTCTTGCCAGAAGGAGGGCAATAGAAGCGTGGAAACTTGGGCTCGTAGAATCTCCAACAGCAACGGGGGTGGGTGCGAGGGCGGCTATTGCCGAATGGTTAGTTGAGTGGATTAGGAGGCCGTTCTCTATCGGAACGACCTTTCACTCCACACAGCTGATGACCGGCCATGACTGTTTCTCAGCGTACCTATACAAGATAAGAAAGATTCCTTTCCTACGTTGTTTCCACTGCGAGGGGAATGAGGATACGGCGGAATACACCCTGGTAGACTGCCCGGCGTGGATGCCAGGAATGAGCTGATCGGTGCGATGGGGGGAGGACAGCTAATCCTTCCTTTGATAGTCAGGGTCTCCCTGACTGTCCTGGGGGGATAGGCGCCCTTCCAGACCTTCGCAGGACGGATCATGCGAGAAAAGGAGGGATGTTGAGAGGCGCATGGAACGGACGCAAGAAGAAGTGTTGAGAAACTGTAAACTTAATTTGAACAGAAATAAGTTCCCGCTCCTTTTATAGTCAAGGCCAGCTTCGGCCATCTTGATCGATGTATCAATTCAATGTATCGATTCCTGTCGAAAACAAAACACACACTTCTTCTTGTCTCACACGAGAAAACACAGAACGATACAGATTTGTTTAATTAATATCCTATGTGCATAATCCTGTTCCATCAAGAAGGACGTAGGAGTGAGCGTACGAGTGTGTATGCGGACAGAAGGGTGAATGATAGGCAGCATAGGAGAGTAGTTCCAGTGCGGTCCCCTCGGGCAAGGCTCCGAACGACTCAGGCGGCGCCTGGCTCACGCGTCGCTTCCCATTAAGTGTGAGTGTATACAGTATGTGTATACGGATGTGAATGGGTCTGATCAGCGCACCTTGGGGTAATGATCAGTCCAATATGTATGTATATGTATATATATATATGTATATATGTAGGGAGTAATTGCGTCTCCGGGGGCTCGTGGGCCCCTGTCGAGTGCGCCATAATTGTAAATAGTTGTGGTATGAGTGTGGATGAATGAATGAGAGCAAGGCGAATGCCGGCCTGGCTCACCGAGGAGGCATACTGTGCGAATACGTACTACGTTTATGCGCGATACCGCCCATCCCCTTTCTCCTCAGCGAGTTAGTATTAAGCATCGAAAGATTTTTTAGTCGGTAGGCGATCCGAACCTGAGAGTATGTTCAGGTGGATTGAATTCGACACTCTCCTGAGTACCAGGCTCAGGGGGCCTATGAAGGTTTTTCCTCCTGACGAAACAAAAAAAAATGGGTTGGGTCTGGTTTGTGTCTTGATTGTTCGACTTGTGTCTGGAGTCTGTGTCAAGCAAGACTTGACTTTTATGTATTTCGGTCTGGTGAAAGAATTAGTTATATTTTTGAACTGTAGTACAACTTCTGTCATTAACATGTCCAACATCTCCAACATTAACATATTATTGCTATCTTCTGCAAATCGTTCCAGAAATGTACAAGTCTACGAAACGACGCAAATTTTCGCGATTTTAAATAACATAAGTTTGGTTTTGAAATGTCCGTCCCCCGTGAAAGTTTACGTAGGGTAATAATCTGAAGAGACGAAACGGGCATTCATTTTCTCTCAAACGTCCGGGAAGGAGGCGAACATCATTCCACCCTTACAAGTTTCCTCCCATCTCGATTGCCAAAACCCTATAACTTCCTGCCTAACTCGATTTTCTAATATGCTTTTCCTCTTCTAACTATCACGTCGCGATATATCGTTTCTTTTTCCATCTCGGTGTTTCATTTTTTCTGATACTATAAAGTTCCTGATGCTTGTAAAGTTGGAAATCGATCGGAGGTTTGTCGGTAACAACACATAGGGACTCCGTCGATGCCGTGCGTTATGCGGATGTCAAAGATATGAGAACTCATTGTTGTAACGCAATCGGTTTTCTATGATCTCCTTTTCTGCATAGATCGAACCACTCTGTTGACACGTACGTAACCATCGGTGTGAACATATCACGATAAATTGTTCGGAAAGTGCCGTAGCGAAGTCCCTACTCCCTACGCGCTAATCTCTCTAATCTTACGAAAAGCAACCTTACCTTGTCTCTTAAATATTGGCAGTGTGTTCTCACTTCCATGCCCTTATCGAAATGCACCTAGAGATATCTAACCGAGTCCTTAAATCTTATACTATTCTAATGATAAGTGTCCTACTGACGAAATCGGTTTTCTTGCGTTTTCTATCGGTATACTATCACTCCCTTTTACTAATAAATTCCCTTTTAATCCTGTTGGTTTCTAGAATAATAGTTTCCGTTTTACGCTCGTATATTACGTTTGGCTGAAGAGCACCAGCTGGAGATCTTTTCTACCATGTGATTTCCTTTAAATTTGAACTTGTTTCGTCAGTCCCTATTTATTACAACTAATAGATCATTCAAGTACGTCACTACATTGACTTTTACCGAGTCATCAATGATATTAGGTTCCAGTAAGAAGGACCGAAGATTAATCTTTGAGGACAACCTTTCCAAGCCCGCTTTGATACTTCCTGCTCTTTCAGAGAAGTCTTAATATTCTGATCTTCGAAGTAACTCTTCATTATCTCGAACTCGTTCTTCGGGCAGTCTCTTTTCCTAAGTGCCTTAAGAATTACAGGCCACCATACGTTGTTAAAGGTATCCGAGATAACAAATAATAACGCGATGATATATTTCTTCGGAGAGGTAAAAACGATTCATCGTATATCTACTATTGCATCGTTTATCGAGCGTTCCGGGATGAAACTAAACTGTTTATTTAAGATTTTTTCTAGCGTGAACAAAGTATCGGCGAGATGTAACTTCAACAACACCTCGAATACTTTCCTTATAATGAAGAGAATTTATATTTAATATTGGGCGATACGATTTTGGATCTTTCGCGTCCTTTCTGGAATACTTTTAAGGAGCCCTCTTTCAAGATAAACAGGAAGGCATCCATTAAATAGTTCTATGAAATAACCCGGCGAAGGCTCTTTTGAACAAATATACTTCTATTAGATTCATATTTTATCGTTCTAGAGTGATTAATTATTCATGCTACCTCCTCCTTCATGAAAAAAATGGGCATCCAGTGTCTCGGGCGTAGTACGCGAACTGTTTTATTAACCGTTGCTTCGGGGTTTCTCCAATTCGTTGTCTAGGATATGTTCGCGTGCTAAAGAATAAACTGGCAGTTTTTTCCATACTCCTCGTGCTAGTATCGCTCCGCCTGGAGTGCTAATAACTCTTTCAACTCGATGTTCATTAGACTGCTGCTTATAGACGAAGCTCCAGTGCTCCAAATTATCATGCGACGTAATATATTTCCTCCAGCTTTCGAGGTTTGCTCGACGGACTTCCTTGCTGTATACTCGCAAAGAAGAGCGGTTTTTCTGCAGTAAACGGAAGCGCGCCTGGTTATCTTTCTTCTTTTGGTACGCGCGCCTTAACATAGGCTTTTTTTTTATTAGTTAGCGCGATCATTCATCACTATTTCGACATTTTAAATAACTTTTTTTGAAGCACTGATACAAAAGACTGAATAACTTTTATGAGTTCTTTAGTCCGATTCTCTACCTCTAGGGCTGATCCTATGTTGCCCCTTTTAGATTTGCTTCAGGGACAATAAATATTCGTTCGGAAACAGATCCCAATAGGCTCTCCTAACTCGAATCTGCTGTTCTCCGTTCTCCTCTCCCCCTCCCATCACCCACTCCCTTTCGTGCAACTTTTGGTGTACGCAACACAATATCAACCGAGTTGTTATTTCTGGAGATCCATTCCGTTCTCACTCACTAATCGCCGATGTATTGGCACATATATGTGCGAAATTATCGTTCAAAAGGTGGGTGGCTGGCCGGTACGATTCATGTCAGACGCGTGAATGAGGTCTTATAACTTTGAGCCTCTTTCTTCTATTCTTTGAAAGCTTCAGAGTGATGATAGCGTGTTAGCATCCAGTGATATAATTAATCTCTTCCCCTTAGAGATCGAACCACCGATTCCAAATGTTTAAGACGCTCCTCTATTTCGTCGTTGTACTTAAAATAGTGCGAGCCGACGTAGAAGGAGAAGTTAAATGTCTCAACTTCTGTACAAATATAATGGTGATTGTTGTGAGATAAACAGTATGTGAAGCGTCAGATTGGTCACCGCGACTGCTGACCAAGATTTTTGGTCCTGGATGGCTGCAATTCTCGCTTCGAATCCTAAAACGGTAATACTTCTAGATGTACAGTTCCTGCAATAGCGGAATATCCAATTATTTTTGGTTAACAAGCTGACGAATCTTCCCCGTTACTACAGCTGAACGTTCCATATCCTGCCACAATATCGTAACTTTCGAGGTCGCGAGGATCTTGTCAGAGATGGAGCTCTCTTTTGAATTCGTTTCTTTCTTCGAGGTCGGAATATAAGCTTCAATGAGAGAGACTTGTGATGATTCTCGCTGCGCCGATTCGTGAGTTTTTGACCGCGATTCTGTAATGAAACTCGCTGCTGTCTCCACCGAGTTTTGCAATGAATTCTTGCGAATGAACGAATGTGGGTATACGGACGCATTTCTTCTCTTCCAGGATTATTTTTACTTGGTTTCCCTAATTTCTTGTTTGCAGTGGCCTCGTGGGAGTTGTTGCGGAACTACGATTTGCTTTGCGGTTTTATCCTTGATTTTGCTTTTGTTTGGTCCTAATCTAGATATCGTGTGTTCCGCCTAGAACGGTCACTTTTGCACTATCTTATCGCATCTAACTAAGACTACGCGAGCAGCACTAGTATTGTGACTTTTATCAGCAGAGATAATCGTTCGATTATCCCTGCCTCGAGCTCTGTCGTACGAATGCACGAGTACGCGGTTGCGAGGTCATCAATTTGGAGTTCGATTGATAACTATAAATTTCCTTTTTCGAGTTCGAGGGAGTTCTCGCCAGAATTTTTTCGGATCTGCTTATTGCGGGTATATTTGTGACAGATCTGACATTAATCGCGGAATTTCCTATATCTGCATGCCTTGCTTTTGAAGATGGTATCGGCACTTCCTATCACACCTTTTTAAAGTAATTCTCGTAGCAGAAAGGTTGACTTTGTTCGGATTCACTTCGGATCGTAAAGGGCAACTAGAAATCACCCGGTGAAAAGCCTTAAGTAACGAGATTGCACCCATCTGATGACGGACTGAGTCCCTACACTGTCTTTCATCGTAAGTGCATTTTTTCTCATCACATTGACCGTCCTTAATCCTGAGAGATCTGAACTGGAGGTTATTTTACCTCCAGAATATTTTTTTTCACGGGCAACCATCATGGAATT